GCCATACATTATGAACGCAGCCTAACTGTAAATAGGAGTATTGTGTATTGTGACGCTATCATTTTACTCTGGAAAACTCAAATTCCCCCTGGTCTCCATGAGGTTAATTAGCCTGTGTCTTAAATAGAGTAAAGTTGGGCTACAGCTACTCTATTTGTACAGCTTAGGCATATTTTAGTACAAAAGGCATTCATTTGTTTTTCAGTATTTTTGACAGAGCCAAAGGCCTTGAAGGCAGTGAAATAAAAGAAATTTGAAAAGCGCAATTGACAGACCCTTCTAGTTTGGAAATAAGATTCATTGGTGAGTAATTTATACATCTTTCAATTATTATTAAAAAAAGTTAATAAGTATGTTAAAGAAAGAGATACTTGTCAAGGGAATTACAAGAATAGAAGTTAGTTATAAGCACTTTAAGCAAAATATATTTGATTTATCCTGTAACTTAATTATATAAATATGACACCAAATTTTTTTACATATCAATTATATACTTTTTTGAAGATTTCGATGTAGATCTGATCAATAATGAATCAGCATAGCCTCTTGTTAGATATCTCCTACCTCTCCCCTACCCCACAGATGTGCATTGCTCTTAAATAGCAATGATTGCCTTTCATCAGACGCATTAAAGGAGCCCTACCGCACTACTTCTGTGTATGTTAATTATGCTTGTGTTGCAAGGAAAATTAAAGCAACCCTTGTTAATATATTTACCAAACAAGAAAATAGACTAATGATTTGAAAATTAAATTTTTTTTTGCCTGCCCTTTATAAAATCGTCCAGCTGGAGTCTCATATTCAAAGGAACTTTAAGCTTCCAACATCTTCCAGACAATAGGCAGTTAAATAGACCTCTAGCTTGGGTGCAATAGAGGTTTTGCACCATCACGTGCTGGTGCCATAATCCAGCTTGGACTGCCTGTGGTTGTATTGTTCCTGCCATCTAACATGGCTGCCGTCACGTGATGGTGCAAAGCCTCTATACATTTTCCCATTTCAAACCGCATGTGTCACTCTCTTGAGAATAATAGATTTATTGCTTCAGTTGTATTCACATTCGTGTCTTCTCATACACAACTCCTAAACAAAGAAATGATACTCCAGAGAATGGTACATGTTCCGAAGGGGGAAAACATTATGCCCAAGGTAATAAGGCCTATTATAATAATTCTAATTATAAAATAAATCACTTCTATTGTAATACTCACAACTCAAGTGGTTCTACTTCTATCATGATAAAAACTGTATTGTCTCTAATATAATTTCTAGTTTTAAGAGTTTCTTGTGAAACAAACTTGGGGCAACCAAAGCCTAAGCTTTTTGCTTTATTCGGTTTCCCAAAATAATCACTATTCCTGTCGCAAGTAAGTCGCCAAGGTTTGTTCTGACGATTGTTAAAATCATCATCTTGGTCAATGAGGATGAAATCTACTCTCTGTTGAAATGGCCACGGTAGCACGGCATCGTAATCTCCTTTCATAATAACAACATAAAGTGATAAATGCGTCCCTTTTCCTTGTCCTAGTCCATTTAAGAATGCTTCGGCCCGTAATTTATATCCATACTGTCCTGAATAGAATGGTGGACTACATAACTTTTCTTTATCCTTTTTGGTAGCTGACTGTTGGTAAAGTTGGTAATAGTTGGATATTTTCCATAAGAATTTGCCATTTGTGCAGACCTTTTCCTGTCGTTGTTCTAATTCCTTTATTCTAATATGAGCCATGTCCAGATGAGAAGGCATACAATCTTCAAGGTGTTTGTCCATATCTGACCTTTTAACCTGCATATTGAACAATTAAATATTATTAATGAAGTGACATCTTTATAATGTAGATCCTTTATTTTAAATGCATTATGGCAATTTGGTTTTTTGCTGCCATCAATTAAACCTAATTAGTTGGTACCTTTCATATTTTTGACTGGCCGCAGCAAAAAAACAAGTTTTAGCGTGCAGCTCGCAGACAAAGAGTTCACATGTTTTAATGAAAATTGCAGTAATATTTTTCTGTAATAGGATTTGGATTGATCATAGTGAGGGAGGGAGGGTCTGCAAAGGATGACCCTACAGCTAGGGCCAACAAACTCTTATTCCTGGAGTCTGGCCTTCGTAGATAGGAAACTTAGGAGATGCCAGAAATATGTTTGAGGGGGGTGGGTTCAAAACATTTCTGCCTGCCTTGCCTTCCATTAGGAAAGTGTGAATATTTTCTATGTACTGTACTGGCTGCCAGAAAAATATCAAGAATCCATGGGTTCACAAATAATTTAAAAACTGTGATACACATTGAGAAGCAACAGGCCAAGGAGTAAATTAACACACTGGATGGTTTTTAATCCATAGGTGTTTTGAAGGTAAAATTTTATCAGCGTAGACCAACAGAGAAGCAAGTGGCCAAGGAGTTAATTAACACACTGGATGGTTTTAAATCCATAGATGTTTTGAAGGTAAAATTTTATCAGCGTAGACCAACAGAGAAGCAAGTGGCCAAGGAGTTAATTAACACACTGGATGGTTTTAAATTCGTAGGTGTTTTGGAGGTAAAATTTTATCAGCGTAGACCAACAGAGACATGAATTAATCTTTATCTGGTCAAAACGTTAAGTATCATGCTAGGTTGAATATTTCATCCGTCATCGATCATTTAGCTGGACCTTCCTCCCTCAGCATGGAGTAAGCCTTGCCTTACCTTGATCTTACATCCTATATCATGATATTTACATGGTACAATGGCTAATGGACAGTCCCCATCAACATCTATATGGGCTGCCATCTGAAAACAACAACATTAATAATAATATAATATTGAATAACAATAATGCAATCCTGTAAATTTGTAGAGAAGTAAAAGCCAGTGTTCTAGCTTGAACTAGTTTCAACTTTTGATATCTTTAATAAATAGATTAACGTGTCAGTACAAGATTAATCTTTCTTCATTTGCCAAGATATTTGAGCCTTTATTTGAATAGCATTCTTGCTAATGATCATGACCCCAATTTATACATCTAGTTTAGGGTTAAGCAGCATTTATCAAAATGACATCCATCAAGAAGTTTAATTCCAAAGGACACTATATCCTTAGAATGTCAATAGGAATTGGAGCATGTTTCATTGACCCAGAAAACTCCAGATTTTGACAGGCCATGCTTCCTGGTGTGTCACGCACTTGCCTGAATGGATCATATTGTATCAATTACAATCTCTACTAGAAATGACATCAGTCATTACATTTCTTTAGAGGCTTTCATCATGCTTGACTTACAAAGGAGAACAAAGAACAAAGAACAACAAAAAGACACAAAAAAAAACAAAAAAACAAAAGCTAACAAGCGTGATGAGGTGAAGCTGAATGGACTCGAGGTCCCAGCAAGGCGTGTGACAGAACTTTACCTCTTCTCTAGCAATATCTGTTTTACCACAGTTGTTAATACATTTGATTGGAACATGTTTACAAGCTTCTAGATGTGCCTGGAAATGATACGATATATCATAATATAACTAAAATGATATACATAATTTTGTTGTAAAAATCTTAATACAATAAATCCTAATTGCCTGTATATCTCTAGGGATTAACACACCTCTGCACACATCTCAGCTAAGACACAAAGAGTTTTTAATGAAGTAAAAAAATATCATTTAGCACTAATCTAGCTATAGTGTGTGCACTCTACCCTATGTGTGCCCATGCTAAATGACAAATGCTGGCCTGAAGAAATTATACTCACTGCAAGATTTCCAAGTTCTCCTGACCAAAAACAATCTGTACCACTGTTATAGCATCTAACAGACAGAGACAGCACTGTTCGTTTGCAGGCTTTATCAGGATAAACCTGTTAAAACAAGTCATACTTTCAGAGAAACAGCTAGTGCCTATAAAGGTGCATGCACCTTCTATATATAAACAATGTAGAATACATATCTTTCAAACAGTCAAATTTAATTTAACAATACCCTGAAACTTCTTTAGGATGATCACTTTAAATTCAGTCAAATAACTAGTGCACCTTATACATGCAGAATATACATATCTTCCAACATTCAAATTTAATCTATCGATACCCTGAAACATCCTCTGGGATGATCACATTAAAGTCAAGGCATGTCTGAGTTGAAATTTAGCTTTAGGATAAAGTATTTACTCAAGAAATACTACTATTAAATTAGTATAAATATATTGACTTAATAATCTGAGTAAAGCATTTAATTATGAGAAGAGGCTACAAGGGAAGGTTGAAAATCCTCTCACTGCAAAGGAGAAAACAATGTATCAATATTTATTTTATTGACATGTGATGTCTTCAGTTACTTATATTAATCAAACCAATGCTGTTAAAATACTCTCATAGTAGTATGCTGTGAGGGTCTTAATACCGCGCTGTTTTGACTAGAAATTCTGCCCTTTGACACTACACAAAATAATTAACAGTGATCGTCATGATAACATTTGACCTTTTATAATAATTACTCTTTAAGGCATAGAATAAAGGCAAGATCAATTGGAATAGATTTTGGGAGAAATTTAGATGGTTCCGAAATGTTTTAGTGCAGGAACAAAGACAACAACTAAACTTAAATAGGAACATTTAATGCTACAAGTGTTTTCTAATCGATGTTTCGTATAGCTTGATTGGTTTAGGAAACAGCTTAACGAACAAACAGGTAGCCTAAATACCCTAGAAGATAAATCATTTGAAGAATAATGAAATAACAAAAACAATGCAGTTTAGTCTGAGATACATTGTACGAGGTTAGGCTGAGTCATACAGATAGATATCAAGATAAGAAACGATAAATTAAAATTCCACATATTAAAGCAAACAAAAAATAGCCATATATTAACTTGTAAAAACAAACATTTAGGGAAAGATAACTGAAGTGATGTCTATCTTTTTGCGAATAAATAAATGAATAGGAATGAGAATAAGTAGCAGAACACAAAAAATAGAATGAAATAAGATATATAATAAAATAATGAATCATACCAAGAATTTTTGTTCGTTATTACCCTTGATGAATGTGAAAAACATATTCGTTTCTTCTTTTGGTTTAGTCATAACTGTAACATCAAATCTTAGTTACATCTGAGGCACATATGGAATTTGATATTACATTACATATTTCAATCTGACCCAAAGACCTGCCATTGTCAGCATGTCTAGTTATCTGTGGCCTAACAGTCATTATTCCTTTTTACCTGGTTATAAAAAAACTACTACATTACTGAGGTGAAATACTCAATAACTCGTGCATACCCTCAGCTTTTTGGTATGGGCACTGAAATGCCTGTAATAGAATGGCAACTATTTTTAGATCAGGTCTGTTTGAAGTGAATAAGTACTGTATAGAGAAGTGTCTGTATTATAGAGGACTGTTTGTAAGAGAATAGCTACAGCCAAAACTGAAGAAAGTGTCCTCATAGAGATGTCCATATTTTAGAGGTCTGTTTATAAGTAAATAAGTACTATTGAGACCAAAGGAAATTTCCATAGCAAAACAGTACCTATTTTATCCATCTATTCAGCGACATAATTCAACAGTAGCGTAAATTAGGGTTTATTTCCTGGCAGAACCAATGACTTGGCATTCCCAAGCAATTACTCAACAGTATATATATATTTATTATTATTGTTCCATTAGGAAAGATAGAAATGATCGACAAAAGAAAAAGTTTTGCTAATATTTTAATGCTATCATCTTTGCCCAAGGAGACAATTATTGCCGAATTACAAACATTTACTGTTGACTGATTTTAACATCACGGGAACAGTGTACAGTTTTCCCATACAAAAATAAACCATTACTAATAGCATTTGAATTCAAAAGAGCATTATTTTAATAAGAACTAAAGTGACTGCTATACAAGTGTTAAGACAATACATCAAAGCAATATAAAGTACTTATACCCCGGGGGTAAAAAAATTATCTTAACATCCAAGTTTATTATTTTATTTTCTTTATCAGTACTAAACTGTAATAATAAGTAATTTCTTTCTAATTGCTTATAAGATTATTACTTTGGACAATTTTTTTTGAAAACGATTTTTTTAGAGGGTGGGGACTTTTATTTATATAAGTTACCATTTAAGTAAAGTATGTAAAGTAATTGCAACACTATATTCCAAACAAATCCTCCATCACACACTTATCAAAGACAATAACCTTGTGTATTGACAAAAAGAATTATTGCTGAATAAGAACTTTATTCCGAGCAATAAGATACCATGCAATTCACTGTGCTTTATCAGTGTTATTGCCCTCTGGTGTTTTTTTGGTTTGGAGCCTAGAAAAAATCACTAAATAGGGAAACGTTTCGAAAAAAGTTCAGACGTTATAGAATTGCAGGAACTGTATTTTATTGATATATTTTAGTTTTGATATTTATTTTTTGGTGGGATAAATCAGAAGATCGAAGTGGTATTTTTTTTTAAAAAAAAAGGGGTTATATTTGTTGATAATTTTGACTGATATTTTGTGTGAATTATGCTATAAATCGCGATTAAAATAAGCCATATTTTGTGGGTTTTTAGATAGTAAGAATATTATATTAGGGTTTAAGACTAATAAAGAACAAAACATTTAAAACAATGAATGAATAAAAACCACAGTATGAAAAATAGTGTTAAACGTATAGGAATGGTTTGTGTTAAAAACATCAATATTCTCTCCAAAAACCCTTACCTTATCGCGAGAAATAGTCCTCCGATCGATTGGACAAAGAGATGGTGGTTTCCTATAGGGAAAATATAAAGATTTTTTAACTTTTTGGTTTGTTTTTTAAGTGTTAAAAAATAGCGAGAAGTTCCTTTTGGAACTCACGTACCTCAAGATGGGTTCAAGGCAAGACTCACAGAATCGATGGCCACAGTCTCGGGTTTGAACGGGCTCTCTGAACGGTAGCTGACAAATCGGGCACTGATAATCAATGTGGACAGGAGTGACAAAATCAGCGTCGAAACCTCCTGCTTGGGATTTGTTTAAAGGAGGTAGATTGCCGTTAAAAAGGGCTGTTGCTTGAGGAACAACAGCCGACACGGACGCCATCTTGGAACATGCTCAATCGATACGAGATTACCAATACATTATTAATGATTTCCGATGCTGGTGATGGCCGACTCTAAGGGATGGATTGCTATCGAAATATCTTTTAACCGCAAACATTCCGATACCAAAAATTCAAGCATGGAAAAACTAGTACTAAAAACGTGGGAAATTATTATGAGAGGTCAAGGATTTTGGAATAGAATTATTCATCAGAGGTTGATGGTGAGGAACCCCCTGGACAGGGTCAAAGCTGTATGCATAGGAAGTAAGTGTGCCAGCTAGTTGTAGAGATAAAAATATGAAAAGAAAAGAACAGAAGTTAAGGGGTAAGGGAAAGGAGTGTGGATGACAAAAGAAAGCAAAAGAATTGATGGTTTTCATAGCCACCATGTTGGATGAAAAGATGAGAAGAAAAGAACAGAAATGAAAGGGAAAGGGAAGTGTGAAAGGAAAGAATGCAAAAGGATAGGAAAAAATGCTACTGTTAACATCAATGAATGAAAGGGAATTAAAGAAAAAAAGAAAAGAAAGAAGTAAAGAAAAATGAAAAGAAAAAAGAAAAGAGAGATCGATAAAAAAAAAAAAAAAAAAAAAAAAAAAAAAAAAAAAAAAAAAAAAAAAAAAAAAAAGAAAGAAAAAAAAAACTAAAAGTAAGAAAAATGTAATTCAAAGTGTGATTTTGAAAATCAAAAATAAAATACAGGCTGTAAAATACTGGAATTTTCAATAAGATGTTTATTGAATTTGGAGCCTGAGGCTCAATCACTGTAAGAATCGTCAAACAAGATTTTATGAAACCTATATGTGGAATATCACGTTCAAACGCAATTTCTATCAGTCACTATGAATATTTCTAGGACTACATTTTAAAAAGAATTACAGTTTTATAGCTTTATAAAAGTACTTTATGCTCTATACTATTATGTTGTGTCACACTTAGAAATCTTCAATACATGCATTGCAACATGCTTTTGGTGACTCTAACCTATCAATGCCTTTTTTTGCAACATGATTATTAAACAAAATATTGATTGGCATTTTCAAATAACATTGGAAGGGATGCTTTTAGGCAATGTGCTTGATGTGAATGTTCCCATTATACACTGTTAACTTGTCGTTACGATGGAGAGTAGGTGCCTGGCAAAGCGGTAGGCGATGGCAACTAGCTGGCAAGAGGTAACCATGGCAACCAAGCCACGGGTCAACCTCGGCACCTGTCACACTGCTTACACAGTGGAAGTAAACTACTTACCTTGTCCAACCAGAGGAGGGTGGGCGGGGCAAAACCGCGATATGAAGGCAATGGCTAACAGCAACTCAGCTACAGCAACCACGAGGCCTTATGCAGCAACTGCGCATGCGCAAGTCTCACACCGCTGGCCAGCACTCCACTCCCAGTTAACTTTGCTTAAATTTAACCACATTTAATAATCCCTATTACCAGATTGTTTTACAAGTTTCAATATTTCCTTTTGTAAATGACATCTGCTACATGTATGTGGATTAACAGTGTTTTCAGAACTGTACATGCCAGTGTAGTTCCATTATCTCTAATCTCCTGGCCATGAGGACCAAAGGAAAGAGGTATGAAATAATGAAGCTAGGTTTAATATTTCCAGGATAAATGAAATATCATAGTCACATGAAACTGCAAAAAATATCCACTGGACGTGGCCTTATATAACGAGAAGTTTAAGAGATCTAAGGGTTTGAGCTAACTGGATTATACTATATTAAGAACTACAAATGGATTGTGCTAAAATTCTTACTTTTTTAAGTCACTTTAGACTACACTTTCTGGGATCCACTTTCTGTACAAGCTTTGATTAGTGAAGAAAGAAAGGACTGTGCTTGGTCACTGTTGAAGTACATGGTCTCTTTAAGGTGTCCAGGTATCTTATGAAGAAACTCTCCTCTCTTTGGAGTCTGGAAGCTAGGACTGTATTCATATTCTTGAAATTCTTTGTCATGGGTTAGACGGAATGCCATAACTGTGAATAACAAGTGTATATAAGAATTAAGACCTGACTAGTTAAAATGGTTTTAAAAGAGTGAATAACCCACAAAGTGATGTCAGAAGAGACACAGTCTTCATAGCCTGCAAATACAGCCGACTCACTTTGGCCACAGTTTTCGAGTGCCTGAGAGAGAATGACACCTCCATTGTTTTAAGTTGTTTTTTTTCCCTCTGAGATAAATTTAGCATACGATATACAATGTATTGTCAATGTCTTACCGTGACCAGTTGGTCCCTTTGGCCGATATGCACAGCAAAAGCTCTCAATTAGCTCTGAATTTGAAGGTGGTATATCGGCAGATAGAGTTATACCAGTTAGTCCTGCGTAGAACTTTATCATTGCAAGAAGAGTGGAAGTTTCAGTCTAGATGTGTATGGAAAAAATAACCAGAAAATTTTCATCAGATCATACTCTGTCTTGTATTAAATTAAGTAAACTATTTCAGTGATTTAACATCTACATCTTTTACTCTGATGAAGGACTAGCGTCCAAAACGGCAGTAAGTTTTTTCATCTTTTCACGGTGTATAATTTACCCTTTTATCATTACTGCTATCTACTAAAGATTTGATTGTACCTTTTCCAAATCCTCTACTTCACTTAGTTGACTGCTTTCTTCGCTTTGCGAAGGTTCTAAAAAAATTTAAATACTTAATATTAGTAAATGAATGAATAGATAAAGAAACTTTAATTTGATAAACAGTCTTCTGCCAATTCTTGGTGTTGAGCTTGTAAATTTTCAGCATTTATGTACTAATACAGAGGTGTCCATTCACAGGGCTACAAGACAACATATTGTATCTACTCTAATTCATTAGGCACAGGTTCAAGCTTGAGATTATGGAAAGTTCCAGATATCTGGGGTTTGAAATAACAGGTCTCCACTGCAGTACATATATTTTGATGGCCACTAATACTCTAACTTATGAGCACAAACGTTTGCCATCTATTTTGTGAGTATAATCTAATTTCTAAGGTTAATTCTTACCTTGTGGTATACATGCGGTACTAATACTTCTGTTGTTGTGTTGTTGTTCATTTGTTTTTGCCAACTCAATTTCATTAGAAGTCATTAGAAGTCGTTCTTTGATTTCTCTGAGTTCTTCTTCAATGGTGGCATTTTTTCTTTTCTCCTGCTCAAGGCTAGTTCTCAGCTCCTTTATGAAGGCATCATAGGCTATATTGAAATCAGTAAAAGTAAGTTATTACCAACACAAAATGTTCTTTGAGGCAACAAGCATAGATTGAAGTTTGTTTGATGTATATGGTACCATGTGTGTGTTTAATAAACTGCCTCTTAACTTGCCGCTGTGATAATGGTGTCAATCCCCAGATTTGTCTCATCTTGAGTACTCCAGTTTTCCTCCCTTCACAAAAATCATTTTTTAAATACCAATTTAATAATGGGAATAGCTCCATATATCAATCCCTTAAACCCTAGGACCCCAGAGATGTTAAGTGATTGTTTTCCACGACTACACCCTCTTGATTCACATGATCACACCAGCTTTGGTTGCAAAACTAATTTTTACCTGTTATGTTTTTATGTGTGTTCTGATGAGCTTGACTGAACTGTTCTTGCATTTGTTTTAGGTTTTGAACCATTTCATGGAACTTATTCTTGTAATACTGGTCATTCTTGTCCTGTCAAAAAAAATGTGGAATGTTTTCCCGTATCAGACCACATGTTATTCCCTTGCAAATAGAACTCTTTGCTTAAGTTTTATCTGTATTGATCAATGTGTCCCTTTAAGTGATAAGGTCAAAAAGAACAGGTACAGGAGGGGAGGATTGGGGTCATACCTAGAACGCACCTCCTCTGAAAGTGCATTAAATACTGGATTTTGTCCTCAAATATCTCCAAATATGGAAGTCCAATTGCAGACATGAATGTACTGTCTGTTTAAAAATAATCACTACAGACACCCAGCTTCAAGCATTTTGGCAGGGGGGTAAAGGGTATTTACCAAAGTTTTCACCCCATTCCTAAGTGTTAGTTTTCAAAAAAGCAATAATGCTCCAGGGAATGTCATTTCATCACATCCAGTATTTAGATAATTCACATTAATCAGTATTAATAATATGAGTTACAGGACATCACTGACCTCATTATTGGAGTTCACATGATGATCATCAGGTCCTTCTTTCATACTATTTCCTTCATTACATGTAGAAGAATCAATCTCTTTTACTTGATATGGTATTTCAACTTCCTTCTCTCTCTCCTGCAAAAAATTTTCCCCAGCATTTTCAACTACGTTGCTCTCTGTTGAGGTGGAAGTTGAAGACATATCCATATCATTTGACTTGTCAGCTTCTTTATTTTGTTTCTTTCTCATATAGCTTCTTCTCAATGCACTAAAAGATCTTGTTCTAGAAGCAACAGGTGACTTATAAGGTGTTTGTTGTTCTACGCATTGTACATTCGTAGCTTGTGGGCTTTCAACCTTCTCCACTTTGGCAGTAGTATTAGACTGTGTCTCATCATCATCATTATTTTTCATCATCTGGCTTTTAGTTTTCACTTTGTTTTTTTCTGCTGAACACCTTCGAGGTATTCTGCTCTTCTTTATCCCCTCATTCTTCTTGATACAGTCTGCGTTAGGAACTACCTCTGTCTTATCACCAATACTGGGCTTCTACAGAATTTGGATGATAAAAAGAAGTCACTTTGGAAGCACAGCTAGTTTGCAAAGCAGCAATAAGGGGGACTCGCGGTCAATGTCAAAGATTTACGGGTTTTACAGGCGGTTTAAGGARGGCGCCGGCAGCGGGAAATACCCGTGTTCTGTTATATGTTGCGCGAAAGTTGGGAATATTTGTCTTATATATGCATGAATGTAAAAAGTTCACCAATGACTTCTGTATAATTTGCCTAAGATCCAAAGTTAACATACCCAAGCCCAAGGGTTTCTGGTGTT